AGAAAGGGGGGAGGGGCGGTAGTTACAATCGCAGTAGCGCGGGAACAGAGCAGGAGGGAGAGAGAGAAAGGGGGGAGGGGCGGTAGTTACACTTTCAGTAGGGCAGGAACAGAGCAGGAAGGAGAGAGAGAAAGGGGGAGGGGTGGTAGTTACACTCACAGTAGCGCAGGAACAGAGCAGGAGGGAGAGAGAGAAAGGGGGAGGGGCGGTAGTTACACTCGCAGTAGCTCGGGAACAGAGCAGGAGGAGAGAGAGAAAGGGGGAGGGGTAGTTACAGCAGGAGTAGAGAGAGAAAGGGGGAGGGGCGGTAGTTACATGCAGTAGGGCGGAACAGAGCAGAGGGAGAGAGAAAGGGGAGGGGCGGTAGTTACACTTGCAGTAGGCAGGAACAGAGCAGGAGGGAGAAGAGAGAGAAAGGGGGAGGGGCGGTAGTTACACTCCAGTAGCGCAGGAACAGAGCAGGAGGGAGAGAGAGAAAGGGGGAGGGGCGTAGTACACTGCAGTAGGGGAACAGAGCGGAGGGAGAGAGAGAAAGGGGGGAGGGGCGGTAGTTACACTTTCAGTAGGCAGGAACAGAGCAGGGGAGGAGAGGGAGGAGAAGGGGGGGGGAGGGGGTAGTATACAGAGGCAGGGCAGAGAGAGGAGAGAGAAAGGGGGGAGGGGCGGTAGTTACACTTGCAGTAGCGCAGGAACAGAGCAGGAGGGGAGAGAGAAAAGGGGGGGGGGGTAGTTACATGGCAGAAGGAGGGAGAGAGAGAAAGGGGGAGGGGCGGTAGTTACACTTGCAGTAGGGCAGGAACAGAGCAGGAGGGAAGAGAGAGAAAGGGGAGGGGGGTACATGCAGTAGCAGGACAGAGCAGGAGAGAGAAAGGGGAGGGCGGTAGTTACACTGCAGTAGGGCAGGAACAGAGCAGGAGGGAGAGAGAGAAAGGGGGAGGGGCGGTAGTTACACTTGCAGTAGGGCAGGAACAGAGCAGGAAGGAGAGAGAGAAAGGGGGAGGGGTGGTAGTTACAGCAGGAGGGAGGGGAGGAGAGAGAGAAAGGGGGAGGGTGGTAGTTACAGCAGAGGGGGAGAGAGAGAGAAAGGGGGGAGGGGCGGTAGTTACACTCGCAGTAGCGGCGGGAACAGAGCAGGAAGGAGAGAGAGAAAGGGGGAGGGGTGGTAGTTACAGCAGGAGTCAGAGAGAGAAAGGGGAGGGGGAGGGGCGGTAGTCACACTCGCAGTAGCGCGGGAACAGAGCAGGAGGGAGACAGAGAAAGGGGGAGGGGCAGTAGTTACACTTGCAGTAGGGCAGGAGCAGAGCAGGAGGGAGAGAGAGAAAGGGGGGGAGGGGCGGTAGTTACACTTGCAGTAGGGCAGGAACAGAGCAGGAGGGAGAGAGAGAAAGGGGGAGGGGCGGTACTTACACTCGCAGTAGCGCGGGAACAGAGCAGGAGGGAGAGAGAGAAAGGGGGGGAGGGGCGGTAGTTACACTTGCAGTAGGGCAGGAACAGAGCAGGAGGGAGAGAGAGAAAGGGGGAGGGGCGGTAGTTACACTTGCAGTAGGGCAGGAACAGAGCAGGAAGGAGAGAGAGAAAGGGGGGAGGGGTGGTAGTTACAGCAGGAGGGAGAGAGAGAAAGGGGAAGGGGCGGTAGTTACAGCAGGAGTCAGAGAGAGAAAGGGGCGAGGGGCGGTAGTCACACTCACAGTAGCGCAGGAACAGAGCAGGAGGGAGAGAGAGAAAGGGGGAGGGGCGGTAGTTACACTCGCAGTAGCTCGGGAACAGAGCAGGAGGAGAGAGAGAAAGGGGGGAGGGGCGGTAGTTACACTTGCAGTAGCGCGGGAACAGAGCAGGAGGGAGAGAGAGAAAGGGGGGAGGGCGGTAGTTACACTTGCAGTAGGGCAGGAACAGAGCAGGAGGAGAGAGAGAAAGGGGGGAGGGGTGGTAGTTACAGCAGGAGTCAGAGAGAGAAAGGGGGGGGAGGGCGGTAGTCACACTCACAGTAGCGCAGGAACAGAGCAGGAGGGAGAGAGAGAAAGGGGGAGGGGCGGTAGTTACACTGCAGTAGCGCGGGAACAGAGCGGAGGAGAGAGAGAAAGGGGGGGGGAGTTCAGAGGAGAGAGAGAGAAAGGGGGGAGGGCGGTAGTCACACTCAAGTAGCGCAGGAACAGAGCGGAGTGAGAGAGAGAAAGGGGAAGGGGCGGTAGTTACAGCAGGAGGGAGAGAGAGAAAGGGGGGAGGGTCGGTAGTTACACTTGCAGTAGGGCAGAAACAGAGCAGGAGGGAGAGAGAGAAAGGGGGGATGGGCCCACCCCCTTTTCCTGATAGGAGCCCAAAGTGCCCTTTTGTTGAGGCAACTTTTTTGTTTTTTTTAATGTGTTTGTGCTTGTGGAGTCCTGTCTGTGCCTCTCAAAAATTATATTATCAATTAATCATAGTTTTTGCTAAATACAACGATCTGGCTTGCATCAGTCACATGATCGTCATTAACCAATGACCGCCCTTGACGGCAGAACGCACTCGTTGTGAGTGGAATGAGCTCGCAAAGAGCACGCACATTTTTTTCTGCCTGGGTGGTCTGGAGCTGTAGCAGAAACACAAATTACCTCAGAGAAACAGACTAATGCAACAAAACCAGTAAGTAGGTGTACAGCATACACTGTAGTGTGTAGCAGTTTGTGTCTTGTTCTCAGATGGACAGCAAGTTGAGAGTGATATATGAGATGAGGAGATGGAAGGAGGAAAAGACGCAAAGATTGATTCACAGGCAGGGCCTAGTTTATTTCTCACAGTTTTTTGTTGCGTTATGGTTCCAAGTAGGGCTGGGCGATATAACCCAAAATTCATATCTCGATATTTTTTAGCTGGATGGCAATATACGATATATATCTCGATATTTTTTTTAAAGCCATAAGTTAAGAACAAAAAGAGAGTTCTTAGTCACACTGTGTCCCAGATGTCACACAGGCACTTTTATTTACATACAGCATAGATGTACATGAAGAATTTACTCAAAAATAAATTAACAGCATTTATTAAATAATAATGCTCCATAAAAACGTTTTTGTGCATAACAAAAAGCTCACAATTGTGCAGTCAGAATGTAAATTAAAAGACAATGAGCATAATAACAAACAGACAGATTTCACAGCTGCTCTATTTCTGAGTTCTACTGCTTGACTGACAGCCTTGAGTTTGAAATCCTCTTTGTAACCATGTCTCTTAACAGGTGCCATTTATGGCCCTTACACACACAATACGGTAATATTAGGTTGAAGTACAGTACGTATCACTCCGCGAGGCACCAGACTACAGTAGCTGTAATGCTCCGACAATCCATCAAGCGGTGCAGCCCCGTAGCTTAACAAAGTCGTACTAAAACATTTTTTGAGAGATTGCTGAGCGCCGTGTACCACATAAAATCGGTTTGCGGTCAGTAAGCACAACCAGAATTCATACAAAAGGTGCACTGTTGATTTTTGAGAAAATGAAAGGATTTTATAATGTAACATATACTATATTGTTATAAACGATATTGTCACATCTTATATCTCGTATGAAAATATATCGATATTTTTAAAAAACTTGATATATCGCCCAGCCCTTGTTCCAAGCGCTTTCACCAATCTTTGCATTGTGTTATTATCTCATGACACTTGTTTAATCAGCTACCATCTCTCCTATGGACTGTTTAATGTCTACAGTCTCAGATCAGCACAGCCCTGCCCTCCAGCACTATCAGCAGCAGGAGCAGCAGAAACCCCTCAACAGCAACATTGTACCCATCAGGTAAAACATCGGCTACGTTTGCTTTGCCTTGTCGCCACCTCACAACAGCAATATAGTATGATGTGATCCCATATTAGATTCTTGATGAATGTGTGTTGCTGTTATTCAGCCTGGTTCAATGCGCCCCTTTTTAACTCTGAGCACCCACCCCTTTAAACATCTCTTGTGGTGTAATGCCGACATTACACCACAACTCCACTTTGTCAGTCTTAATGACCCCAAAGTTTTATTTATCTATTTATACACCAGTTCTGTCAAGTGAGTCAAGACTCTAGCAAACTATTATAGATGGAAGCTTGTGGAAGGATACCATAAATGTCTGGCCCAAGTGAAACAATTTCAGGGCAAATCCACCAAATACTAAGGAAATGTATGCATGATGATGAAAGTAATAAAAAGTACAAAACAATTCTCTCTCTCTTTTTTCTGACATTTCACAAATACAAAAATCAGTTAAATCCTTTGTTTTTTCTCTCTGCAGTCATAAACAACCAGGTTAACAAATTAAAACAAACATGTTTTACAACATTTATAGCAGCTGTTGTGTTTATAAACTCTGTCACAGTTTATGAGAGTCATTATGTATTCTTAATATTTATTGGTAAAATAATATTTGTAGTAAAATTGTCTGAAAACTGCAAGAAAAACAAACAAGCAAAACATGGATCACTTTGATTCCAGCTTCAGTTTTATTCAGGAAACAACAACAGTCATATCAAAAGGCACTTTATCTTTACAGTAGAAAGATTAGAAGCACAAACCCCCTGAAACAGGAGCATAACAATTGTATGAATCGAAGTCAATTACATTTCATTTTTATAATATAATAAAAAATCCTACTCATCATCACTAATGAAGTCTGCAGTCAAAATAAATATATTAAATACAGTGTGCTCCAATACAGTTAAATGCATGCAGTGCTTAAAGCTATATATAATAAATGTCAGACGCTTTTGTAATATAAATATATGTATCAAAATTACCAGAAAAACACAAAAACTTAAAATTCTTAAAGTTTGCATAAAACCTTACAGCTTACTCTTTCGCTCCCAGGCTTCTAGACTTGTGATTGGCCAACATTTATACATGGCTAGGATGTGGCATGTTCTTGACAGCGTTTGACTTTGTTTTTGGCGTTCGCATGTGAACGGAGACATTTTTTAAAAACGCATGTGTGGACGGGATTTAAAAAAAGAAAAGAAGAAAAATTTGAGTTTTCAAAAATACCCGTGTACGTGTGGACGTAGACTCAGATCATCCGGAAAAAAACAGAAACATTACAAACATGCTGCTGTTCAGCTGGAGGCTGGAAAGAACCCTGCTTCTGTTGTTTACATTTTCTGTAGATCACGACACCAACAAAAGCAACAACAACAACAACAGCAGCAACTGAAAGACCAACTTTCAGTCCAACAGATCCAGCCTCCTTCCCTCCATCCTCTGTGGCTCCTCCTGGCTGACCTGCAGGTGAGAAACAGGTGTGAGGTGTCAGCTGTCAGGTAGGTGATGAGTGAAGAACAGAACAGAATCCATTTCCTCTTCAAACTGCTGTCAGACATTATCTACTGCACTCTGATCACATCACTCAGACCAGCTGCTTTCTACAAAGTCTCATCAACAACATCTTTAGAAACAAACATCAACAAGCAGGAAGCAGCTTCACCTCTGATCACACACACACTCAACTCTACTCACTCACCTGGAGAAACAACAACACTCAGTGTTATGTTGCAGATGGGTTCACATGAGGTTGCTCCTGCCACAATGATGCAACACATGTATGTTCCACTATCAGCAGTCGTGACATCCTTCAGAATCACAGACACGTCTCCATCCTTCATCAGTGTCTCCTGCAGGTCCACACGGTTCTTAAACAAGTGATGCTGGTGATCTGGAATAAAATGCCCATCCCGGTACAAAAAGACATATTCATCTCCGAGGTCAGCTCGGCTCCACTCTGCAAGATCATTGTTGGTGTTTGGAGCTCGACACGTCAGAGTGACGTTTTGTCCACACTGAGCTGTGATGTTATTCTGGTCTGAAAGAGGAAACAAAACAAATGAGAGACGTTAAAACTACTAGAAGTCTGCCTTCACATCACAGTGTGAAAGACAGAGTGCAGCTTCATGTTAGATTTATTTACAGTTTTTTTTCTGCTTGAAATTCAAATAGATCCTCTGCAATAAATATGTTCTTATGTCCAATAATGTGTCAATGAATTGATGTCAGCTGAAATTTTGCTTCCATCCATCCCACTCAGCTGTTCTCTATTCGTCAGTCTTATTAATCATTTGTTTACAGTTAGTGCAGAGTCCTCCTGTTAGTGGGACACATCTTTACATAGTCTATTTGTATATTCTGTTATTTCAATGTCGTTCGACACGATATTACAGAATTGGAGAATTAAAGTTTTATCTGTGATTCTGCAGAGGAGCTGAAGTTAAAATGAGATAAATGCATATAATTCAACAGCTCTGATATCGCATGCACAACTGGATATGGTTTGAAATTTTATAAATAAATACATTTACACATGAATAACTACCCCACAAAAATGACAGTTTGTGTCTTAACTTAAATTTACGAATCACGTGACGTGACAACGCGGATCCGGAACCCTCTGACGACAAGTTCTCCTCCGCCGTGGTTGTTTGACGCGAGCTTCAGCACATTGTCGGTAAAAAGACGGTAATATAACTCAGAAAGTCCACCTGTGGTGGCCGGAAGGCGTTGAAGGAGCACCTGCAGATAATCTCGGCTTAATTCTGGATTTGGACCTTTTTGTTTTGTCGCGGTTGTTTCTGGACGTCGATCAGCGCGGTGGGAAGTTTCCTCCGTCTCCGGATTATTCGACGATAAAATGTTTGTTTTCGTCTTTAATCGGTCACAAAGGAGCTGTGTGTGTTTGTCAAAGCAGCTACAAGCTGTTTGGACTGAACATGGAGCGGAGACAGAGAGAAATAAGGAGCTTGTGTTTGAGGCCTGGATACGACTACAGGAAATCTGCAAATATGGCGACTGTACAGTGCCAGCGAGTCTCTGCGGGTGGACGTGCTGTCTGCACTGCGGGTAGCTGATCAGACCTAACCGACATCATATTAACGGTGTTAAATCCATCACAATGATTTCTTTTAGAGGGTCTACAACACTCTGGAGGAAATCTTTAAACCACCGAGCTCGCCGTGGATCGTCAGCCGGACCAGCAGCAACTTACACGGCGAAGAGAGCTGAGGCAGAAGCGGACATGTCGATCTGCTGCGCGGCCAGGCTAAACCTCCAGCTCCCGGTGTTTTCTCCACAAACACCACATCCATCACAATAACGTGAAAGGGTTGGATCTCCTGATCGGACAATTCCATCAAGACATGCAGCGTGAACATTTAAAGAGAAAAGTGGTGAAGACGGGAAACATGACTCTGGTAAGGTTGTTTCTGTGTGTGTAGATCTACCACGGACACCATGAGCCCGGTGTTCTGGGACTCCACCCTACCTGACAAACCATCTGTTGTGATATTTTGATACCACGGTTAGCATTTACAGGATATTGTTTTATACAGGAAAACTGTTACTCAATAAGGCCCATCTACTAGTTGTTTTTCTCTTTCTCTGTGACCCAAGAATTAATGTGTAAGACTCACAAGCTGGTACCAGAAGGTCGAAAACACCACAGAGACGAGACCACTTCCTTACTCCCATCCTCCCTTTTTCTTTATCTCCTGGAAAAGGCTCGTTAAAGGCTAGGTGGTTTGTTTCAGAATTCACTAATGAAAGAACTCTGTATTTTATGTCTAGGAGTGTATTTTGCTGGGATGATCATAAATTGTAGCTGAACTGATAAACTACACACAGGATACTTCTTTGCTCACAAGGCAGGAAGACGTTTCCTTATTTGGTCTGTACCGGTTTGAACTGAGAACTTGCTGACACACGAACCTTTTTTTCCTCTATATAAGCTGTTATGTACTAAATAAACCTTTGAGTCGATTTGGGAAGACAACCTGAAGCAGTCTGTTTCCTTGTTCTCCCAAGCTGCTCCCGACGTCGTAACTAACCCAGCTGAATGGCATACCTGAGTGTTACTTTAAATAATTAGGAATCTTAGAAGGAAAGGACAGAACTCTGCTTATCGCTCGTGCCTTGGAGGGAAAACCGGGATGGACATTTTTTCCTTCACCATCCTACCCGTTGTTTCTGCGTATGCGCACAACACGCATTTAAGTGGCGAACCGTCCTACCTTTGTGAATATTAGCTAGAAAAATACTCTGACGCGTAACATTAAGTGCCAAACAATCCTAACTTTGTGAATGTGACCTACAAGCATACTTTAACAGCTAAAATTAAGTGGCAAATCATCCTACCTTTGTTAATAAGATCTAGAAACATACTTTGACCGGTAAAATGAAGTGCCAAACCGTCCTGGCTTTATGAATATGAGCTACAAGCATACTGTGATGGGCAAACATAAGTGGCAAACCGTCATACCTAGTTAAATTTGTGGTGGAATTACTCTGTGACAGCAGAAATGTGCATAAACTACTTACGGTAGGACGTTTTGGCAACGGAGGATGGTTTGTCAGAACACCGGTCGTAACCAGCATGGCTGTCCTGATGTTAAAGCCCCCACAGACCGAAGCAGGAGTTTCCATCTACCCCGCAAACTAAGTGTACTAATCATCACTGCTCCACCCTGTCAGGTTTTTAATCTCTTAGATTTGTTTTACGTATTTACACTAACAGTAAAGACAGTTTATTTGAGCAAGGTGACACGATTACTGATAAATACACACGGCTGCTGACTTTATAAAAAGTTATTCTAACAGTTCAATCTTACCTGCGGACATAAATGAGCGAAGAAAGGCAAAGATGATCCCGCAGATCAAGACAAATTGTCCTGCATCCATAGCGCTGCTCTGTGACACCAGATTAGAGACTGTCCACAGTCGCTGCTGTGTTAGTTTTTTTTCTTAAATGTGTCCTTTCTTGACCCGCCCACCTGCTGCTCTCTACACCAATGACAAGTCAGTAGAGTCCGGAGTCACATTCCTGACTTCAAACATATCCGACAACTATTCAGTCCGGAAATGTTTTCTAAAAGTAGACCATCTCAGATGAAAAATAAAATCAGATCATCTTTAAGAAGTTTTTACTTATATGTATTTTCGGTTATTGGTCACTGTGGAGCTTTTATACACTACACTCATGTTTTCTGGTCCTCTGTGTTTGTGTAGCATCTTTTAAGTAACAGGGTTTAATTCAAGTGTTTTAAGAAAATAAAATGGCACTACAGTGTGATATAGCTTTAAAATAATTCCTTACCACCTCTATTTTTTTTGTACCCATAGAAAACCACACACTCCAAGGACAGAGCATTTACTTAGTGTCAGTGACAGAAATGTACAATAGCTTAAATGAGTGAGGCTGACGATGAAGGAAACATCTGTGTCTGCTCTGTAAGTAGAATCTCTGTTTTATTTTTAAATCCTGCTTCACAGTGCAGGCCTCAGGGTATTTACCTTTGCCTTAACACTTATATTCAGAATAAGCAGGAGCGCGACGCTGGATAGGAACTCGCTAAGTCAGCCCAGGATTTCCAAGCACGTTCACATAGCAGATGGCATGTTGGCAGCATCTAACCAATCGACCCAGTACTGTGTCGGTGGAGACACACTTTAATGTAGTGTAAAAATATTGTAATATATGTTTGCACTGATTGTCGATCACGCTTCAACTGAGTCGTCCTCGGTCAGAAGGAATGGTACTCCACAGTGATGTAGTTCAAATAACTTTACTAAAGAGGTGGCAGATGACATCAACAGGATGTACAGCGTTGGTAGGGAGGCATTACAGTATTCACATGCAGGTAACGGGGGTGTGAGTGTGTATATGGGTATGTGTGTGTGGTCATCTGTAAACAGAAAGAACAAACATTTGTATTAACCACTATGGATAGCAGTGTACCCCTTATACAGTACTGTGGGTTTCCAGCGTAATGTTATACAATCTGCCATAACCTCATGGCCACTAGATGGCACCCTAAGACCATAAATGAATTTCTGGCTTGTATATACATTGGCAAACCAGACCTCTGCAGATTGCAACGATTCAGAGAATAAACATAGTAAATAGTTACATCCACCTACAACCACAATGCTTGACAGTAAGTCGTATATGGAATGAAATATGGGCTGAACACAAGGCTGCCTGTAGTAGGCCAAACAAAACGCATCTTAGCGATAGCAATGGGACTAGCCTCTTAGCGATAGCAACGAGACTAGCCTCTTAGCGATAGCAACGGGACTAGCCTCTTAGCGATAGCAAATTACACAGATAAAGTCAACAAGCCTCACTCTCATCTTACAATACTCACATGGTAAGCACGCACGCAGTATTAACTCACACCGAATGCACGTTAATACGTTACTCCTCCGACACACCTCTCATCTGTGCAGCGCTGCGCTGAACACGTTCCCAACCGGAAGTACAGATACCGAGGTGCATCATGGGTAACGTAGTATAAAACAGCTACAGTGAACAAGCGGACTTTTAACAGCCGCCCCTGTATTTGTAGGCAAATACACTCCCGCTAGAGTCCTTCTATTTTGAAACAGTGTCATTGGAGTCCTCAGGAACTTTGGGAAGTTCCACCAACTTAGTTACCGGGCGAACATAGGTACTGTCTTTAACCTTGACCTTGGCAGCTCGAACAACGCCATCAATCCCTGGGAAAACTTTGGCAATGGTACCCACAGGCCAAAGGCCTCTAGGCAAGTTACAGTCCACAATCATAACAGCTTGTCCCACAGCCATGTTGTCAGTGGACCTCCTCCATTTCTGTCGGAGTTGCAGTCCTGGGAGGTAGTTCTGTATGAACCGCTTCCAGAAGTGGTCGCTGATGACCTGACTGTGCCTCCATCTTCTGTTAGAAAGAGTGCCTGAGGGGCCGTAAGCTGCCTGGGGTAGTGCCGAATCATGCCGCCCCATCAAGAGAAGATTTGGTGTGATGGGATCTGGGTCAGCTATGTCAGCCGATGCATAGCCAAGCGGCTTTGAGTTCAAAATGCCCTCAACCTCTATGAGAGCAGTGAGTAGGACTTCTTCCACCACAACTTGGTCCTTCAGGACCACTTGCAGAGCTGACTTCACTGCTCTGATTTCCCTTTCCCATGCTCCTCCGAAATGAGGAGAGTGTGGGGGATTGAAGCAGAAGTGATAGTCTGCTTGGCCAGTTGCTGCTTGAGGTCCGGCTCCATGTTTTCAAACGCCGTTTGGAGTTCTCTGTGCCCACCTCTGAAATTGGTCCCTCGATCAGACCACATCTCGTATGGCTTCCTCGGCGTGCAATAAATCTGCGTAATGACATAAGGAAGGAATCGGTGTCAAGACTAGGGAGGAGATCAAGGTGCACGCATCTGGTTGTAAGACACTTGTAGATGATTCCCCAGCGTTTCTCTCTTCTACGACCTATCTTTATCGTGTATGGCCCAAAACAGTCTACGCCCGTTGACCAGAACGCCGGCTTATAGAGTCTCAGCCGCGATGAAGGTAAGTCAGCCATTTTGGGTGTAGAAGGTGAGGCGCGCCATCTCCTACAGTCCACACACTGGTGCTGATGCTTCTTAATGGCTTGACGTCCTCTGAGAATCCAATAGGTGCGCCGTATTTCCGCAAACAGCCTCTCTGCACCTGGATGAAGGAGCTGGTCATCATAAGTTTTTATGATGAGCTTGGTCAGGGGATGTTCAGCTGCTAATACAATGGGATGAATACTGTCTGGATCTAAGTCGGCAGCTCGACGGAGGCGGCCTCCGACTCTGATGAGACCGGTAAGACTGTCATATTCAGGGGACAGCACGCTAAGACGGCTGTCTGAGCGGACTGGGTGCCCGATCTGGAGGGCTCGGGCCTCCTCTGAGAAGCTGTCAGTCTGTGCCGAGCGAAGCAGTATGGTTTTGGTTTCTAGTTGCTCCGCTGCTGTAATAGGAGCGTCAGCCGCCCCGTGTTGGGTCTGGTAGGTAGCAGCAATCAGCTCATCTAGCGTGGCATACTGTGTGGGATCTGGTAAAGTCGGGGATGCAGAAACGTGCCCACAGAATGCAGTCTTTCTGAGCTCTGCCTCACTGCATGCCGGGAACTCTGTTGGCAACTTAGGCCAAGTGTCAGCAGTTTGTGACAGGAAAGGTGGACCATGTGACCAACGATTGCGGACAGTTAGGTCAGCGAGATGTTTCCCTCTGGTGATGTCATCAGCAGGATTGAGGTCAGAGGTCACATACCGCCACTGTTCAGGAGATGTCAGCTCCTGTATTTCACAGATTCTAGTCCCCACAAATACCTTATAGCGACAGGAACTAGACTGGATCCACTGCAGCACCGTTGTAGAGTCTGTCCACAGGTAGATCGATTTCAGGAGGATGGTGAGCTCTGTCTGGAGTAATTTGGCCAATTGGGCCCCTGTGAGCGCTGCGCAAAGCTCCAGCCGGGGTATTGACACCTGTTTACGTGGGCACTCTGGAGCGAGCCATCAGGAATGATGTGGCGATGGGCAGTTGTTGATCGATTACTCGGAGATAAGCACAGCCCATACGCCTTTTCTGATGCGTCACAGAATATGTGAGCCTCGTATGTCACATTGCTGGAGTTTGAGAAGGAGTGTAGCAGCGGGGAATGGTGACATGCTGAAGGTGTGACAGTTCACCTTCCCACTCAAGCCAGGACTGAAGTAGATTCCCTTCGATGGGCTCATCCATCCTCTCTCTGTGCTCCACAGGGCCTGTACAATCAGCTGGCCCTTGTAGTGTAGGGACAATATAACTAGGGGGTCATACTGGTAGCTAGTACCTTGTACACGTTGCGCAGCGTGCCGTGGAGTAGGTATAGGGCGGTGCTTATATCCAGGACATCTGTCGGGCAGTGCCAGCTGAGTCCTAATGTTGACTCTTGTGGTCGAGACTTTTGAAGTTCAGCCAAGCTCGCAGCTCTCTGATCTAGCTGAAGCGGGCAGGTGAGCAACTACTTCGGGCACGTTGCTCGCCCACTGACGTATCTCGAATCCTCCTGAATGAGTAAATCTCTCATCGGTCGATGAGCTGCTTTGCCTCTTCTGGGTTGGATAGGGACTGTAAACAGTTATCCACATAGAAGGCTGTGTGGACAGAGTCACAGATGTCCTTGTGGGTGTCTTCGTGCTCCCTTGCATATCTCTGTAGGGCGTAAATAGCACAACAGGGGGCTACATGTCGTCCGAAGGGCAAAACTCTCCACTCATATACGTTGGGGCCGGTCAGTTTCACAATCCCTCCACAGAACCGTAGTAGAGGACAGTCCTCTGGGAGCAGCCGAATCTGGGTGAAACATGGCTTTGATATCTCCATCACGGCTACAGGGTGTTGGCGGAAGCGGAGTATACCCCCAGCAGAGTGGGCCCCAAGGAGGTCCTGGTAGAGGTAGTGTTCAGGACGGCCCCCTGAAACTCAACGAACAGTTGAAGACCACCCTAGCCTTATCATTGTGATGTACCATGTGGTGGGGTACATACCATGACTCGGAAGAGCTATGTGTCTCATCTGGGCTCAGCTTAACAACATAACCAGAATCTACTAACCTGTGGATTCCCTGGCTGTATGTGAGGGTCAGATCAGGATTCTTGGCCAGCTTACGTTCGGTGGATCTGAGGAGGCCTTTTACTGCTTCAGGAGAGACACACATCCGTGGAAAGTCCCTTCTTCTCAGCAGCGGAGTGGCGTATCTCTCGACACCGTCTACTGGGACTCTGATAGTCTTTGTCTCCAACATAGCTACCGCCTCTCTGTCCTCCTTGACCGTGTGACCTCCTTCTCTGTCCTGTAGGGGGGAGCATCTAGTTGCCACAAACGCTTCACATCTTGATGCACGGCCTCTGCAGGAGAAGGCACATGTTCAGGCACTGCAGGTCCCCCTCAGATGTAGGCATACTACTGGCCGGCCCTGGATGGCCATCCGAGCTTGGTGCAGATAGCTACTGGCCCTTTGGACGACCCCCGAAGGACGGACGGACAGGGGTGATGAATGAGCGTTATCTGAGCCAATCAGCACCAAAGGTTGGATCTGGTTAAATCCTCAATCTGGACTTTCTGTAAGTGAAGATACTTCTTCTTTAGCTGTTCAACTGGACATGACTGAGTAGCTAGGCTCAGTTGTTGGGCTGTGAAAGCAGTGTTACTTTGTACCTCACTTTGGGCTTAGCCCTTGGTGACACCTGAAATGAGACAAAGCCTCCCTTCATCTGGATTACATCTCGACGGATAGTTCTCAGTGAGAGTGTTGCTTCCTCCTGTTCCAAACCTAGAGATTTAACT